GAAAGGCTCTCACCTCCATGGTAGCAGTGATCACATACTTCAGTCCTGTTATCTGGCGCAAGGGGCTGCCAGCAGCCTACAGTTGGGCCTGGCATCAGACACCACAGGGAAGAACATGGGTTGCAAAAGAAAAAGATAGAACTGCTCAGACTGGGGAGTGCAGTGCACAGAGGTTATTCACACCTGACACCTGCCTTGCAGAGATTCACACATGCCACCCCACCACACAGGGATTAACGCCTGACACCCGCATTGCACACAGATACATGCCCAGCACCTGCATCACACAGGGATTCGTACCCAGTCTGAGCACACACCTTGGTTCAGGACCCTCAGGGGACTTACGCACTGCTCTGCCTTGTTCCTACGTTATGATCGGGCTTAAATGTGAGATCACCAGTGAGCTGCTCAGACTGGAAGCAAAACTGTAGAGACTGGGGACACTTTCAGGCCAAAAAGCAAAGTGCCTAGGGGAGGTTTGGGCAGCTAAGAGGCTTTTCTTGAATAACAGCTTTGCACCTAGATGCCCAAGTCCTATTTTATGCACCAACATCCCCTGCTGGTTCCAGCTCCTAGCCTTTGGCTTGTCTCCCTGCCTCCGCCACTGAGTTCCTATGCACAGCTGAGCAAGTCACTTAATCCAACCTTTGTAGCCATGGTGGTCTTTCTTTTCCAGGGGCCTGATTTGAAACACCTACCATCTTATATGCAGAAGTGTAGAGCTGTCCCAGCTGCAGGTAAGACTGGGAGTTGTGCAATGAACAACTGGAACGGTGTAAAATGCTTAGTTCTTTGAAAAATCATTAAATCGCAGAGTTAGAACGGACCTCAAGCATCATCTCATTCAGTTCCCCACACAGAGACAGAAGGCTCTGGGCCTAAACCATCCCAGACAGATGCCTGTCCAGCATCTTGTTGGAAACCTCCAAGGAACGAGATGCCACCCCTTCCTGTGTTGGCTTGCTCCATTTTCCTACTGCTCTTGCTTTTCGGGAGTTTTTCCTGAGATTTGATTCAGATCGGTCTAAACTCATTGCTTTAAGTCCTGCACTTTGTGTCAAGGGAAAACAGTTGTCTCCCTTGTCTACCTAGCAGCCTTGCAAACATTTGGAAACTGCAGTTGTACCTCCCCCCACCCCTTTAATTTCCTTGTCTCCAGGCTAAACATGCCGGCTTTTCTCCACCTTTCCTCAAACAGCCTGTGTGCCAGTCCCTGTATTACCTTTGATCCTTGCTTTTGGACTCTCTCCAGTTTCTCTATGGCTTTCTTAAAATGCTGTGCCTTGAACTGGTCACCGTACAACAACTGAAGCCTAAGCAGCCCTGAGATGCTATCACTTCCCTTGTTCTGCATACGGTGCTGCTGTTAAAGTCGCCCAAAACTGCAGCTGCATTTTTGACAGCACTGTATTGCTGATTCACGCTTATTTTATGATCTCCCTTAGCCTTTGCATGCTTCCCCACAGGACCACTGCAGAGCCAATATGACTGCCTTCTGTCCTTTTGCATTTGTTTTAGTCAAATTTCATGTTGTCATCTAAAGCCCAGCTCTCCAATCTGTCAAGAGGCTTTTGACTGCTCATCCTAGCCTCTCAAGTGTTTACAGCTCCTCCTAGGTTTGTGTCATCTGCAATTTTTATTAGGAAGCTCTCTATTCCTGCCTCCAAGTCTTCGATAAAAAACGTTAAGCAGCACCAGCTCAGAATAGACCCTAGTGAAACCCTGCTTGAAACCTCTTGCCTTTCTGACATCAGTCCATTTATAGTTGTTGTTGTTGTTCAGGTAATTATACATCCACCTAATAGTGCCCATAATTCTGTCCAGCCCACATTTCTCCAGTTTACTTTTGAAAATGTCATGTTGGACTGTGTCAAAAGCTTTACTAGTGTCCAGGTAGATGACGGCCCCTGCATTTCCCCCCGTCCACCAAACTAGTGACCCTGCCTTTCATGACATTGCAGTGGCTATGAGATGTCCACAGCCAGTTTCTTCAGCTTCCTATGAAGTTTGTCAGGTGCTGCTGTCTTAAATCCATGCTAATTTGTTGACAGCTCTCTGATGTGCTTGTTACTGATTATGATCAGCAACTCTCACTTTTTTATACTCATTTTGTTAGCTCTCAGGTCCGTGGATTTTTGTGTGTGAAGAAATCAGGAGAAAAGCATCTCAAATTATGGACAGAATATGCAGGGAATGGAAGATCCTGGCTGTTTAAATGCCCAAAAGGTCAGGGCTTGACTTGCAAAATATATTGTCCTGGAAATAAAAACCTCATCCTCTGTAAGCTGGGCAAAGATTTTTTTTGGCCAAAGCTTTTTCCTCTGTATAAAATGGAGTGTTAAAATAATGTATTTTTTTCACAGGAAACTGTCAAGGACACATTGGTTTGGTTTGGTTTGGTTTTCTTGGAGATATTCACAACAAGGATCTCAGTCCATCCTGAAATGTTCTTTACGCTTCCTTTTTTTGAAAACATGCACATTTTCAAAATTAGCAATTGAAAAATTCAGAGGTCTGTTCCCCCACCCTCCCCCTTCAATGTTGTTACTGAATATTACGGCATGGATGATGTCCCAAGGTATTTTATCCTCTTTAATGTCTCATTCTTTGTTTTCCAGTTGGAAAAATTACAGAGCAGCAAATGGAAAAGGAAAGTTGGCTCTTCTGTTACTCTGGAACGTTGCCAAAATCAGAGAAGTTTTGAAAATGTACACAGTGAAAAAAGGAAGAAGCAGGGAAAACAACAGAGCCACCAAATGACTTTCATCCTATTGCTTTTTGATGGGAGAACCAGAAGAAGAATCAGGGGTGGGAAAACAAGCTTTTAAAATTTGAATCTGTTTCCAGTTGTTGAATAAGAAAAGAATACAAATACATCCATTTGAAATGAAATGGGAACTTTAATGCTGCCCCCAAATTCATTTCGTTTTCAAATTTCTCTGTGAAAATTTTAGAAAATGCTGACTTTTGATTTAAAATATTTGGTGTGAATCATCTGGGAGTAGCTCACACTTTAACATTAGTACTTGGATTATTTCAGCGCTATGATTGTTCCACAGAGATGTTCAGCTCAACCTCACTGGTCTGCACCCAGCCCGGCCTAGAAGAATAACCATTTCCCCCTTCTTATAGCTGTTTGGTGGCTCACCTATGAGATGAGTTTGCTAGACCTGAATTTCCCAAATAATAAAAATTCCCTCCACACTTTCCAATATTTCATTTATTTTTCAGATGCCTCCTAGTCTCACCCCTAGCCAAAAGGCCAAGGAGCAAGCTGGAGGGAAAGAGCAGCCTCCCGCTATGTAATCGAAATCCTTGCATTTGGAGGCATTTGTAAATTCTTGCAGGGGCTAGCCTGCCTACACTACACTGCAAAGAGCAGGCCTTCATCCTCTAACTACACAAAGTCATTCAAGGCCAGGAAGAAGGGTCTCTCTCCTGCCAGGTAAATAAAACCATATGGGCTGAAAACCACTTCATGGTAGTATGGTGATACTCCCCTGCCAGTAAGTCCAAGAACTGAATCACCCCATGGGTGAGACCCTGCCCAGGTGCCAGTGAGCCATGGTGCGAGGAAGTAGGAAAGGTAGATCACACCCCCGCTGTCCTGTCCATGCACAGACAGCATCATGCTACAGGGCTGCACAGCACAAAGTCCACATTTCCTTTAAAGCCAGAATTTGTTATATGACCACAGGCTGCAAGCATGAATTTAGCTGACTGATGGATTTGCAAAACAACCATCCTGCACGGAGGTTGGTGGCTGGCTGTGTTGGTATCTCTTGTTGTTGATATCTCTGCTATGGTGAGCCTGTCCTCAACATGGCATAGATAATCAAGGGAATGTAGAGTATCCAGAGCCTTGGGGTGTCCTTGGTGGCTGAGAGTGTGCAGGGAGGCTGTCATGGCTCCCAATCTGGCATGACTTGGGAGTCTCCAAGGGTAACATTTATGCTGGTGTAACTAGAATTACACAGGAAGCAGATGGGCAATGCAAACGCCAAAATCAGGGTAACTTCACCCTGTTCACTGCAGAATTATCCCCGAAAGAATCCCCGATTCCTTCAAGGGTAAAACTCTTCTGAAGTACCAGTGTAAGTGTGATCTGGCCAAACCCATCCCAGAGTAGCCACTGGCTCAAGTCAAACAGGCTATTTCCTGCTCCCTGGGTGGGTCTACATGTGCATGTACTGCGCAGTAACTTAGCACGTAGTAAGCGGTTTTTACGGGGCCGTCTACACATGCAGGCGTTACAGCTCAGTAACACTGTGTGTGGACTAACTTGGGACTAAAGTTAGTCCCGAGTCCGTCCACACACACAGGGTTATTGCGCAGTAAGGTGTCTACATGTGCTTTACTGTGCAGTAACTATTTGGGCATAAATTTGCTACCTGCATCATGCAGGTAGCTAACTTACACCCAAGTTGGCGTAAGTCGCCATAGTTACTGCGTAGTACGGGCACACATGTACAGACACACACCTGTACCGTGCAGCAATTTTTGGTTACTATGGAGTAACCTATAACTGCATGTGTAGACGTGTCCCCTGGGAAGTACTCATAGCTGCCCACTCTGTGAGCTGCCCCAGAAGAATTCCTGCTCCTGGCATAATGTATGTCGTGGTACAGAACTGCTGTAAGTTACATCAGGGTATGCATTCATCTGTCCATGCCCTCGTTAGCCCTATATTTAATTAGGCCATGGAACGGTGGAAAGTCTTGAACAGCCTGTCTTAAGATAGTGGTGCTTTGGATTTATTTCATAGCCTGGTATCAGAGTACTCACCAGGTGGGAAAGACAGATTTCAATCTCCTTGGGCAAAGGAGGTCATCAAGGTCTACTCATCCACCTCCTTGGGTGAATATTAGACAACCAGAAGGCTGTGAGATGAAAGGGGAGAGCAACTCTGCCCCCAACCTTGTTTGGTTAGAAGGGCCTGACTCGGGCTCACGGTTCTGGATCCTGTGGAAAGAGCGGCCTCCTGCCAGCCTGGAGCTGGCCATCTCTTCCCTATTGACAAAGTTAGTGGATCCTTACTCAGTGCTGGCTGCTGACAGTCCCTAACACTGTCGAGGAAGACCAGGCCCCAAAATTCAGCCTGTTAATTTTACTAGGTATTTGAACATTGGTTACCATAACACTTGGGGTGCCCAAGTCTATTCCTAGCTGCAGCCCATGGCTGCTTCCAGTGTTCACTGGAGATGAGAAGAAACAGGTGTTTCAATCTGTCAGCAAATTTGAAGAAGTTGGGCCAACATTTGTTTCATAGATTTCATAGATTTCATAGACATCAGGGCTGGAAGGGACCTCGGAAGATCATCGAGTCCAGCCCCCCGCCCAAAGGGCAGGAAGTCAGCTGGGGTCATAGGATCCCAGCAAGATAAGCATCCAGTTTCATCTTGAAGGTGTTCAATGAAGGCGCTTGAACCACCTCCGGTGGCAGGCTGTTCCAGACCTTGGGGGCTCGGACAGTAAAGAAGTTCTTCCTTATGTCCAGCCTGAAACGATCTTGAAGTAGTTTGTGACCATTCGACCTCGTCATCCCTTGGGGCGCTCTGGTGAACAAACGTTCCCCCAGATGCTGGTGGTCACCCCTGATAAACTTGTAGGTGGCCATCAGATCACCCCTGAGCCTGCGCTTTTTCAGGCTAAAGAGCCCCAGGGCTCTCAGCCTGTCATCGTAGGGTCTGCTTCCCTGACCTCTGATCATGCGCGTGGCTCTTCTCTGGACTCTCTCAAGCTTCTCCACATCCTTTTTGAATTGTGGAGCCCAAAACTGGACACAGTACTCCAGCTGCGGCCTCACTAAGGCCGAGTACAGGGGGAGAATGACGTCCCGGGATTTGCTTGAGAAGCATCTATGGATGCAAGCCAGCGTTTTGGTCGCTTTACTAGCCGCCGCATCGCATTGCAGGCTCATGTTCATCTTGTGGTCAATGATGACCCCCAAGTCTCTTTCTTCCATAGTGCTAGCCAACATAGCACTGCCGAGCCTATAAGGATGCTGCGGGTTTTTTTTCCCAAGGTGGAGAACCTTGCATTTATCGGCGTTGAACACCATCAGATTCTCGTCCGCCCACTTGCTGAGCCTGTCCAGGTCAGCCTGGATAACCTGCCTGTCTTCTGGTGTGGATGCTTTGCCCCAAAGTTTGGTGTCATCGGCGAACTTGGCCAGTTCTGATCGCTTCTGACTCCAGTGTCCACATCATTAATGAAGATGTTGAACAGTATGGGTCCAAGGACAGAGCCTTGGGGGACCCCACTGGTCACAGGACACCACGATGAGTGACTTCCATCGATTACTACCCTCTGGGTCCGACCCCGGAGCCAATTTTCCAGCCAGCGGATCGTGGAGGACCCAAGGCGACAATTGGCCAGTTTCTCCAAGAGGCGATCATGGGACACCAGATCGAAGGCTTTTTTGAAGTCAAGATATATGACATCAATCTCTTCTCCCTTGTCCAGGTGATAGGTCACCTGGTCGTAGAAGGAAATGAGATTGGTCAAGCAAGACCTACCCGCAACAAACCCGTGCTGGCTATCCCTTAAGATGTTGGCGTCGGCCAGTCCATTAAGGATGGCCTCTTTAATAAACTTTTCTAAGATCTTCCCCGGGATAGAAGTCAGGCTGATGGGCCTATAGTTAGCCGGATCCACTTTCCTCCCTTTCTTGAAGATAGGCACCACATTGGCCTTCTTCCAGTCTTCGGGCACTACACCAGAGCGCCAAGAGTTTTCAAAGATCCGCGCTAGAGGCTGGGCTATGATGGTCGCCAGCTCCTTGAGTACCCTGGGGTGAAGATTGTCAGGGCCAGCTGACTTGAAGGTATCCAGCTTCTCAAGATGTTCCTTCACAAAGTCAGCATTAAGGGAGGGCAGGGGATCACCCTCACCCGGACTTCCCGGCCCTGTAGCGGGCATGGGCGTCCCATGGGACTGATGAAAGACTGACGCAAAGTACCTATTTAATAGGTACTTGAAAAAGGACTTTTTATTGTCCTTGATGCTCGAAGCTAGTTGGAGTTCAGTTGCAGCCTTGGCTTTCCTGGTCTGCTCCCTACAGGACCGGACCAGTGCAGAATAATCCTCCTTGGAGGTGACTCCCATCCTCCATCCTTTGTAGGCCTTTCTTTTTAGCCTCAGGAGATCTGCTAGGTCCCTGGAGAGCCAGGGGGGCTGCTGTGCCCTCTTGCTGCCTTTCCTCCGAGATGGAATAGACTTAGTTTGTGCATTGAGGATCGCTCCCTTGAGGAGCAACCACTCCTCTTGAACTCCCCTCTCCCTGTGGTCACGGTCCCTTAGGGCCTCACTGACAAGCCTTGTTTGCGGGGTGGGGGCAGAAATGTTCATAACATCTAATGAAATGAAAAGAAAATTGTTTCAGGTCAGGCTAGATGTTTGGCGTGGACAAAATCACAACCATTTAATTCCCACCACTGTCACTTTTTTGGAATTGTTTTAACAAATAAAATTAGAGGATATTTTGAAATGAAAAATCATTTTGAACCAAAAAAAAAAAAAAAGAAGAAGATAACTCCCAACATTTGATTTGAAAAATGTCAAAAACAAAACGATTGAATTTTTCAGATTTTTTAAGTTTAGATTTCATTCCCCAAAACAATTCAACAAAATGGGCACAACTTGATGAAAGGTTTTGCTGTCACAAATCAGCATTTTGCAGTGCAAAAGGATTTGTACAAGGGTCATAGAGTCTTGTATGATGTTGCTGTATGTCATACAAGAGTCACAGAGCGCTGTTCTACAATCTGTGGGCCGCGGACCCCCGGGGGTCCACTGACTTTGTCTAAGAGGTCCATGAAAGATGACTATAATCAATCAAATGTACGTGAATGCCCACACTTACAATTCAAAAGGGTCTGCACCTCCATTCAAAAGTTTTTAGGGGTCCGCAAACGAAAAAAGGTTGAAAACCGCTGTCATTGAGAAGTAGACCTCCAGAGGTCAGCTAGAGGTCTTATTGAGCTCATGAACAGCCCCCAGCTCTTTCCAAAGACATGCCAGTTGTAGAACTCAACAACCTTTTCCAAGAAGCTTAGGTCCTTGGTCCCATTTCACAGCTGGAGAACCTGAGGAATGGGAAATGACTTGCCCCCAGTCACGCAACAGCTCAAGGGTACACACAGGAAATGCATCAAGGTCTCCGAGGTTCAGTGCATTGCTTTGGCCATGCACCCATTGGGATCCCTTAGGAGCATCTGAACAACTCAGCCACCTATTTGTTTGCATTAAAAATCATGTAGGAACAGAGATGAGCAACACTAGTTAGGGTCAGAGCTGAGGTACGTCTGGCCCAGCTTCAGGTCAAGTGAGTGGCAGCAGGGATGGCTCATTTGCCCCCAGCTGAGGTCTCAGCCTGCTCTCCAGGATCAGCCATCCCCCTGCGGAAGCAGAGCGCTGGGCTTATGGGACTGGTGCTATCATGACCCCCAGACCTGTCCAGCTAAGCTCCTTTGCTAAGCTCCTAGCCTCAACCACAGCCAGCAGCAATGAGTTTCACAAGCAATGCTGCACAGAGAGAGGGAGCATTTCCCCCCCAGGGTCTCCAGCTGCCTTTCTATCTCACATGCCATCACCTTGGCTTTGCATGGTAAGATAGGGAGCCCAAGAGCTGCAGGTCTTCTTCTCTGGACCAACCAGCCTTCAACGGCTCTCACCCCTTCCCTCTCTTAGACGACACTACATTTTCCGACTCTGTTTATATGGGGGTGAGTTCCCCGCTTATTCTCCTGGCCATCTTGCACTGCCCTTGGGGAGACAGGGCCCTGCCTACAGCATCCAGCTGCAGAGAAAAACAGGGCCATAGTCTCCCTTTCAGTCACCTATGCATCTTGCCAGAGGTATAGGTCATAGAAAGCATAGAGAAGTAGGCTCGAAGAGATCTGCAACCCCGTGGCTGAGGCAAGATCTTCCTTCTCCCAACCACCCTCTACAAATCCACTACACAGTTGACCTTCATACAGCCACAAGACGTAACACCCTTAAGTGCCACAGGTAAAGCAGGGGGACCACGGTGTCTGCAAAGGTTGTTAAAGTATGCACAACATGTTATGTCAAAGCATGATTTAATGCTAGAGAGTTAGACCCACATTGCCCCCTAAAAGCACGTGGAGGGGAAGCTCAGGAGGGTGCAAGGAGCAGGAGACTCAGGCACCAGGCAGCCCACATAGAGGGGTTTCTTCCCCTTGCACAAGTGCCTTGGGAGGAAGGTGGTTCAGGCACACAGGGGTGGATGTGCGGGGCATCTGTGCCACTCATTGCCCGCCTGAGCCAGGATTGCTAGCTGGGCTGGGCCCCTGGTTCGTTGTGCTTGCTGGACTGATTCATCTCCATGGTCTTGGAAACTCGCTTTTCCTGCCCCCAGGAGTCTTCCCATGGGAGGCTACAGTGGCTCCTGTTGCCTTCCCCCGGCCCTGTGCCCTCTCCCACTGCGGGGCATGTCTGTCCACCAAAAACTCCACGTGTGAAGGAGCTCTGGGGTTTTATCCTCGGGGGAAAGCTTTGTTCCTGGCCTTGGCTTCCCTTCCGTGACAATGCCTGGGTACCTCTCTACTCCCTGGCAGTCGAGAGGAAGGGAGCAGCTCCCAGGGTGAGCTCCAGGCTCGAAGTCCTGGCTGCCTTGAGCATGTACCAGCAAAAGCAGGGAGGGGGAGGGAGGATGGCTTTAGCCCAAGGCGGTGCAGGCCGGAGATTTCTGGACTGCTGGAAAGCGGCCAGCTCTGAGCGCGCACCTTAGCATCAAAGTTTGAATTGAAAGGGGGGCGCGGGTGGGGGGGACCCGCTCCCACCCAAGATCATGTCTCGCCAGCTGCGGCAAGAATCCCTGGCCAAAGGCCTGCCTCCCCTCCCCCACCGCCAGCCGTCCGTCTGTCCACATAAACTTCTGGGGCCTGGACAAAAGGGACAGAGAGAAAAAGGAGGCCTTCAGAGGCATCCCCCACTGCTGCTGAGTGCACGGCTGCCTGGCCCCCCTCACCCTGGGTCGCCAGGCCACACGGAGGGCTGCCCCCCCCAATCCCCACCCCACTCATGCTGGCGTGAGCGTCCCCCCCATACAAGGATGCCCAGACAAGGGCGGGATTGTCCCTGCCGGCCCCTTCCCAGCAG